TCCTTCGAGCCCCTGTCTCCCCCAAGAGCAGCCCCACTTGGGGCCACGTGTCCCCCCCAGGGTGCCAGACCTGCTTGGTGACCCCCGTCCCACCAGCACACCGGAGCAATGGCTCACCCCCAAATTTGGCGTTGTATGCAACGCCTGCGCCGCAGATTTGGTTGTTGGCTGCAGCCGCCGCTTCTCCTGCACAGCGTGTCCCGTGCCTGAGGGGCAGAGTTAGCTTGTGAGCCGTCCTCCGTGAGGGCTGAAGGGGTCAGGCACAGCCTCAGCCCCCCGAGAAATAAAGCACCCAGCTCAGGGCGCTGGGCAAAACTCACCGGTTTTCGTCCCCGGCGGTGTACCTGGGCTGGGGGTCAGGGTCGTTGCTGTTGAAGTCGTAACTTGCCAGGGGGTCCTGTTGCAAAAAGAGGCACCGGTATGAGCAAACAACCTTTTGGGGTGGGTTGTGACAGCTCAGCACGGGCTCCTGGGGCTTCGCCCAGTGTCTGGCAGCGTGGGTCGCCCTGCCTTGCCCGCGAGCTCGCTGCCTGCCCACCCTGGAGAGGGCAGGGGGGACCCCTTCGCACCCAGCAACTGCACCGGGTTCAGCTGGAGTTGTTGGAAACGGGGTTTCGCTGAAGGAGGGTAACTTTGCATGTCACTGTACTGCTTCATCGTGTTCACGTGCAGTGAGAAAGCCCAGCGTGGCGAGTCACCTGAGGGTGAGCCCCACTGCCCCCACAGTTAGGAGAGAGGAGCTACAAACCACTGAAATGGTGTTATAAACAACAACTAAGATTTACCTATCCTTTCCTCTCGGCTCTCGGAGCACGTGAGGGTTTACCAGCTTTACTGGCTTTGCAGCTTGCTGTAATTACACCTATTATGGGGGCTTGAGCGTGTACAAGTTCTAACGTTTCCTTGATGTGAGAATTCACTGCGGGAGACACCAAACCTTTTGATCCGGCCACGGAGAGGCTGAGTTCCCACTGCAAAGTCCCACGGGTGGGACGAAGGCACCAGGTCCCACCCTCCCCTGGAGACAACTCGCCCCGAAGGAGCCGGTTCCTGAAGGAGCCGGTTCCTGCAGCCCGCGCTGCTCAGCCCCTCGTAGTTACGTAGTTGGCAGACAGGTCCGGGTGGTCCTTCTCGATCCCATCATCCAGGATGGTCAGCACTACCCCCAGCCCCGTGTACCCTTTGCTCCAAGCAGTGAGGATGTTTAGGTCGGGATTGATGTCATTGTTCTGGAAAACGGATTACATTTGATCAGCCCCTGGGCAGCAGGCTGCGGGTGACCTTCAGGGACTCTTCTGCTGCCTCATCACTGTCAGCATTAGTCCTGTTTACGCATCAGGGAGGTGATTTGCTGGAGGATTAGAAGAGAGAGCGGCAAAATCTCACCATGTACCACTGTTTATGAAACCAGGGATCTGTTGGCACCATGCTGACGCTTCTCTTCCTGCGCCTCTTTACGGTTTGCTGTTCAAACCAGAGGACCTGGGTGGGAAGCAGCGCTGTTGGTGGCGGGCAGAGCCAGCCCGGCACGGTGTGCCGTAACCTCCGGTGTGCCGTAACCTCCGTCCCTGCAACCGCCTCCTCCCTACCTTTGGCTCTTTTGTCAGGCGCATGTTCCAGCCCCAGTGCCTGCTTAAGGCTTTCTGCCTGGTGCCTCGGTGTTTGAAATGGTAATAGGGCTCTCCCTCCATCACCTGCAGGCGCAAAGAGCTGCTGTAAAAGATCCTTTCTGGGCAAGCAGCCGGGCTGGGGCTGCCTGTGCCAGCTCTTCGTGGGGCGGAGATCAGAAAGGTGCATTTAAGGCGAGTTGTACATGGCAGGACAAGCAGGGAGCACCACTTGGAGACAGGGCAGGCTCCCAAGGGAGGGTTGTGTGTGCCCTTCGGCTTTCCTCGTTCCCCCCGTGCACACACAGAGGCCGTTAGCAACGTGCATCCGTGCCGCGCTCCGGCTTTCATCCGCACCCAGTGCTTTAAAACCACTCGAGGGAGTAACTGAACACTCCGTTTTAAAATTAAACCGGCTCACGGTGGGGGCGAGCAGAGAGGACGAGTGTTGGGGACAAACG